ATTCCAGTTATTGGGGTGAAGTCAGTAATAATACCTTATAGATCAGTGTGAAATTTTGACCTGTTTCAAATTATTCAGAATAACACTTTGTATATAAATACTTTTTTGTTTTTTGGTTCTTCTTGATGTGAAGGAATTGTTCAGATTTGGCTTTTTTTTGTCCTTCACAGATGTATGTGCTAGAGGTTTGTTCCTCAGTGTTGTGTGAGACTTTTAAAGGGTAGGGCCTAGTGGGAATCCCTAGGATCATTGAGGGTACTTGCCCTCAGAAGAGAATGCTGATCTCCTGCAGTGAGTTCTTGTGAGAGAGTTTTACAAAATCCTGACTAACTCTGAATTTCTAGCTTCAGTTTCACAATGTAGTCTCTCCTCCCACATGTATATATACCATTGCCATCTGCCACGAGGTGACATAGCCAAGGGCGTTATCATCAGAGTGTGGGCCATGCTGATTGAACTTTCATTTTTCAAAACTGTTGCTAAATGAAAGTGTTTTTATCCAAACTAGACTTCCTAAGTTATTTCATTATACTAATGAAAAACATTCTAATATAGGATGATAAAAAACAAGAATAAATTGTGTAAGAATAAATCTAGCAAAAAATATTAAACCTGTATGAGAAAAACCCACAAAAATCCCAATAAATGAAAAATTGCATCATCTTCTAAGGTATAGAAATTCAATAATAAAAAATCAATTCTCTTTAAGGTATAGTATAAATATAATTTGGTTCCAATAGAGATACCATCAGTAAGGTGTACACTGAGACACGCTATGAAAATTATGTAGTTGAAAGGCAAGTAAGATGGCTAAGAAAATTCTATAAAAGACAAAAAAAGATGGTTGTTAGCTCTATAAGATTTGTTGATTAATGAACCCACTGCAGAGTACTGAAGTTAAAACCTCAGATGTAGACAAAAAGTGCATGAAAATAATAATCAATCAATCAATAAAATCCATAAAAATTGTAGTTGAGATGATGACATTGATATTTGGGGTTTGAGAGCTCATATTTCCATAACAATGAAAAGGAACTAATTTATCCTATTATTCTTTAGCTAAAGACAGATCCAATGATCAATATGTCTATGTGAAAACAATTGTATTCATATATATCAGATAAGTTCTGAAAAATTTTACCATGGTATTTTCAGGTTTCTCAGGATGGACACATTCCCAGACTTCCCCCTCTGATATTTTACTTGATTTTTTTTCCATTACTTTGATTTGAATGTGGGTAACATTTTTGTCTGTTTCTTTGTTTGAAATATTCAAAGCATGAAAGTGCTATTTATTCATCAGACTCAAACTATTATTCAGCCAGTGATACTTTATCTAGGAAGAACACAGAATTTCACACCCTGATTTTCTATCAAATAAGAGTATTTTCCTGAGGGCAAAGCTTCATTTTTGCATAGGATCACAAGTTTTCAAGGGTTCTGCATTGTTATGAAGACTAGCCCTACTATAGAGGATACCCTGAGAATCTTCCCTCAAAAGTAAAAATGAATATTTGTCTTGGGAATCAGTTTTTCTACATGGACCCTACATTCTCTTTGTAATATCATACATGTTCTAGATATTTTCTGAATCCATCTATGGCACAGAAATACACTGGAAGCTTTGGACAGAAGCTTTGATCCTCACAAGGAACTCTGCCCTTCCATCCATCTCTTCCCATTAATATGATCTCCAAATCTCCCCTGAAAGAATCCTATTACAGCGTATATCCCTGTGATGATAGAATACATTTAGTAATGTGTGAAAAAGAACAGGTGAGAATTAGGCTATGCTGGGATGGAGGACTAGGATTCCCTCAACTAATTTGTGCCTATGATTTATCTAAATGATTGAATATGGATTCATCACTAGGTGACAGAATAACTGAAAGAGGAACTTAAGCACACAGAGCTAAAATAACACAGAATCAGTGCTCCATATAGCCCATCTTATGCTCAGTCATTAAATATTCAGTTACCTTACAATTAAAAGCAATAGTGTCCATCAGCTAAACTGATTGTGGGCATTGACAGCTTGTCATCTCTGAACTGGAAATCTTGCCTATGTCACAGGGAGATTGAAAAGTTCCAAAATATTCTTAAGGATCATATGGAGGAAAAGTGGACAAGATAAAATCCACAGCCCCACCCTACATTTGGTTTACAAATATTACTGTTTCCCTAGAAAAATATGGTTTCTTAAAAACTTTCTAAGCCTCACAAGAGGTTGATTCACAAAGACAAAAGTTGGTGAATGCATTACTAGCCCTTACAGATCCTAGCGTCTAAATTTTTCATTCACTAGGATTTAAGTCCTTGGTCTCTTTCTTTCTTCAGAAAATCAGTGTCCATCCCAGCACCTATAATTTCACCATTATTTTTTTTCATCCCATACTTTGAGACATTTTATCTAGAAGAGCTCAGCAAAATAATAGCAAATGCTATACTATTCTAAAAATTATTTTATATAAAATATATATATAATAAATATGAATATATATAATTTTTATATTTTTATATATAATTTATTATATTTTATATATACTATATACTATTTATATATATACTATACTATTCTATAAATTCTATAAATTCTACCATACTATTTATAAATTATATTTATACTTTATAGAAAGCTTAGCTGGAACTAAGTTTATGCCCACAAACTCCCTTTCAACTAGGCTCTGAAGCAATTGGGGCAAAAAAATAGGCTTTTCTAAGGTTGCATTTGGAGGAAAGAAAGACAAATTTTTCCAGGAATGGACATGGTATAATTTTAAGCTATAAATCTAAAGTCATATAAGGACATCATTGTCTTAGTAGCTCTTAATTCTTTATTTCTGATTCTTATTGTTCCTCTTTTTACACTTTTTTCTTTTTTAAAATTGGATCTATTTAATAAGCTATCATTCCCAACAACATCTCCAATTTCATTTCCTTTCCTCCATTGTTTTGTGTGGTTATAATATAAGCATATCATATGTGCATCTGTGGGTGTAACTCAGCTCATCATGATGTGTATATATATATATATATATATATATATATATATATAATCTGAACTTTTCTATTCAGTTTACTTTATTTTTTATTCACTTATTCACATGTGCATACATTGTTTGCATCATTTCTCCCCTTGTCCCCAGCCCCCCACCCGGTCCCCCAACCCCTCACTTCCAGGCAGACCTGTTCTGCCCTTATCTCTAATTTTGTTGAAGAGAAGACATAAGCATTATAAAAAAGACAATATATATTGACAACAAACTACTGCATGTTTCAAAAAGCTAGAAGAATTTTGAAAGTTTTCACCATAAATAAATAAGACTTTTTGAAAAATACATATTTAACCTGCATTAAACATTATTCAATATATACATGCAAGGTACTACATTAATATGTGTAATTTTATATTCTGTATCAGTTGAAATAAAACTAAAAGCAATACCCAAGAAGTTATTCCAACTAGGGTTGCTTATTTTGGAGGCTTTACTGAAAGTTTGGGGAAAAGTAAAGAA